GGTAATGGTTAAAAGAAAACGATCCAGGCTCGATTAGATCGAGTTTCTAGCGCTGCGTCAATATCGAAGAAACAGTAAACGATGCTCATTAACGACGAAGTGTCTTCCATTAAGCCTAATCGCTGTTTCTTTTCAGATCAGACTATTTTTTTAAACAGCTTTAATACACCAGCAGATTATATCGATCGGTTTTCACATGTCCCATATAATCCTCTTTGAAAGTCGCTCTACAGCTTCTTGTCACCAAACATTTAGGTTCCATTCTCTAGCGATCGCTGTAATGCCCTTGGCCAAAAAACTGCCAAGGGAGTGACCTGCGTTGAAGAGCATGATCCCTGTATACCGACCTTACAAAACTAACCCTGGTTGATCCACATGACTAATATCTCCTAACTTAGCATATGATGCTAATATGTTACTATTCTCTGGCGATACCCATGATCTTATTTGCAAAGTGTGTGTTCCCGAAGGATGGTGGATATTTCAGCATAGAATCATATTTCGTACAGCTGGATTCATTTGAAACAACGAAGTTGTAACCGCGCATATGATAGTCTGTCCCAAGATTTTTCGCATATAATACTCTGCAACTACGGAATAAGCGACATTCTGATTTGATTGAAAGATCTGATGATTAAACAATAGAAATTAAAATTTTATCTTCAAAACTTGCTGTAAATGAAATTAACCTTCCTCGTCATGTTAGTCTCCAAAGAATCTGCTCTAAGTAGATACATTATATTCGATCTGTCTGACAATCACAATGCCATTCTGTTTATCTTCACAATAAAAGCAAAAAGGAAAGCTTGCATCCGTTGGAATATCGGTCATTCTTACACTTCATGATGAAGTTAATGGAGAGGCGCTGATCTCCACTCCTATGCCATCAGTCAAGAATGTCTTACATTGAAAACAGTCAATAGCAGTTCTGTGGCAAGCATAATATGCAGTCATGTGTTTCCTCCTCACAGAGTGGTACTTATTCATCGCACTGTACGGAAGGCGAGCAACCCGACCAGAGCTCGAACCCAAAACCTCTCGACCGAACCGAACCGAGTTCGACGCTCTGTCGATCTGAAGCCAAATGTGGTAAATTCCTTGCTCAGGGTAATTCATGGCTGATACAGTCATTTCCCTGCACCGGAATCGAAGCCGATTCTTAGACACTGTGACGCCACTCCATTATCTGCATCATAACTTTCTTATGACCTGTGAAGATTTGTCCAACGCAATAAGAAACATCGTGCGAAACAATATATGCATAACCATCTAAACATTTCGGCACCATCACATTTCTCGCATAAAGAACATTGCTCTAGAATTACGGATTCCAGTAAATTCAAAATTTACTGCTGGTTTTCTGTTAAATCATAAAATATTTCCTTGGCTTTCTCGACTGACAAGGTGAAGGACACAGCGGACAGGAAAAGACGGATTGTTCGGGGCCAAAACGCCCCGATTCAGCATCACCGTAGCACTATGTCGCAATGGTAGACAGAAGATACCATTTTGTTGTCAGTCATGGATCAATTCCAACCGAACCGGTTAAACGGTATGCGATACCGGCATGGATGGCCTTATAACCCGTTCCTGGAACTTGGAATAGACGAGGAAGGGCAACAACTGACCATACGAATGGTCAGGTGACCTAGTTTGGCGATCGATCCACTGGCGGATCCCAAACGACCAGTTGTCTACGTTGACAAAGCAGAAAGTCGAACGAACCACGGATCGCCTTCCGAGAGTGGAAATAGTTAAAGGGCGATGACTGTGACTCGAGGACCTTTTTTGGCCGAAACCGGTATTTTCATCGACAAGCGAAAGACGACCTCGGTTAAAGTCTAATGCTGACGTTTTCGGGTGATGCTTGGCCCCTAAAAACTAACACAAATGACACGCTACCCGTTTTCCTCTATCCGCCAACATCAAAGGCGTCGGGCTGGGATCGTTGGCCTTGAGTCGGAAGGTCACCGACCGTGGCCGACAGAAAAACCAGTCCCGGACTGGCTAACAGCAATGGAACGGTGACAAGGCAAATCCCTGAGGTAATCTGTTCAACAGATACGTGAACATGTGGGCTTCCTCATTGTGCCAGGGGCATGCATCTTTCCATGGACTTCAAGTTTCCCATATTCTTGCCTCAGGGAGAAATCATTCTTCCCATGTACGCCGGATGCTGAGAAGTAGGGGATATTTTCGAGTGACATTCCGTTGCCGCTTCAACACAAGCTCTTCAGTCAGGACGACGCCAGAAACTAAACACTGAATTGCAAGCGATTAAAATCGGACGCATCATCGCCATGGGAAGGCGACTGATTTTCATCTTGAACAGAATATTACGTCGAAAGTAAATAGTTTACACAACGAGATGGTATGAGTATAAGCCATCGATAAGCGGTTCAAAATTCAATGTCATCTTCACCAGTAAAGACAAATTTAATCGCGTTATTATACATAAGCCTGGCAAGAGTCTGCAGTATGTAGAACGTTCAACTGCGATCAGCTACAGGTGACCACTTAGTAATAACGAACAAGCATCGATCAAGGAATGTGACACGTAGCCAAAGAGTCCGCAGAACGGGTAGTAGAACAAGAGAAACGGTTCCACTGCTATTGCGCAAAGATACCAACTTATAGAGAGTCACTGAGCTTCACACCACTGCCGCAGAGTATTCCTGCTTCGAAGAAATATATCGATTCACATCTATATGCAAGTGGCAGATCATGAAATAAATAGATCAGTAATCTGGGTAAATTTGATGCTGCGTTTCTACCTAGCAAAAGATTAAATGACACCTTATGATCTAGGCAATTTGCTTTTCGAGGTATTAGTTTCATCCTCAGTATCACGCTCATCACTGCACTTCAATTGTCAGAAAAAGTATAGAGTTTGTAAAAGGGGCAAAGACTGACAGAAAAGGAACCACTGATATTTGCATTTTGCAAATAAATTATACTAATCATCATAAAATTAAAATTTCACTGAACCAAACTTGCACAGTACTTTTCACGCTATCGTCGAGCGGATCCGATTCTTTAAGTCCTGAACCATAGAAATATTTTGTGATATAAGGGAGTTGCTCTTCTGCCCCTTCTACTAAGGTGACTGAACAATTTACTTTGAAATACAAATCTGCGTAGCCAAAAAAATACGTGCCAAAGTAATCTGATTTATCAACAATTCTGTACCTTCACCAGTCTACAGTATTCGTGAGATTAAATGCTGAAGTAAAAGTCGATACACTACGTGGCAAGGGGAAACTTCACAAGTTGACTCACGAACTCGTTCTAGAACGGTTTACTCTCTGAAAAAATCTAGAAAAAGTCAAGGAAGGACTGAAGACTGAAGAACTGCAAAAACCGTCGATGATAACTTGTTTTCAGGGAGAATTTCCGCATGCATCCGACATCTATCCCTGGCGGTTCCATTTGCATGCGCTATTTCTTTAAGATTAAGACGGTAGCAGTTTCAGACTTTTCTCCACTCACCCCGGTCCTCTGCGGGTCAGCTGAACGAACTGCAGCTGAAGGAGCAAAATTCCTACGTGTCCCCTATTCTCGTACATCTGGCTTTGCGATTGGGTGTCCATGTTGTGAGCCTTCCTTCTGGTAGCCTGATCACGTGTACGAGTAAAAGCAGTTGAAAATTGCCAGTCTGGGAAAGGAGTCATTCACAATCAAGGGCACGATGGTGCGCGTTTTTCGTACAAAAAGTAATAAAAGAGAACAAAAAGTAAGACAAGAAGGGTTAGAAGCAAAAGAAGCAATGGAAGATCATGGGATATTTGGTTCTTGTGTTGCCGTTCAAAGTCAACACTCAGCTTCTGGCCTGCAAGCTAGGTCGAAAAAAGCAGCAGAGAAAGAAGAAATAAAAAAAGAAACGAATAAGAAGAGGAAGTAGATGAGGAGGAAAAAGAAGGAGATGAAGCGCAGGAGACCGTTCGGTACGCTGGGAGAGTGACTTCATTCAGAATTCATCAGCGATTCAGTTCAGACCAGCTTGTTTTTATGAATCCGTGGGGCCAGACGAACGCGAGGGAGACACCGAAGAGGAAGACGGTTTGCTATCGAGGTCAATTAAAGCTACTGTACATAATATGGGAGGGCGTTGTTGTTCGATTCACGGGATATCGCAGAGGTACGAGCATGACGTCCACGAATTCCCAGTTGCCGTTGGCCATCGTTTCCTGTCTTGTGTAACGTCTGACATGATTGCAAGGCAATCTTGTGCTAAGCTTGGTTTGCAGTTCGGCCATAAACGTGGCCCAGCTGCGTTATAGCTCATTCGTCCATGATACCACCTTACCCTGAATTCTTCACTTACCACTAGGCCTTTTCCAGCAAGGATTCGACCCACAGCAAGTCATGATGGAGATCAGCCACTTGTAGTTCTGTTGTAGTGCACGATCGAACAGTGAGTATCTTCGTTTCTCAATTTCGTCAGATGGAAACTTGATCAGATGCAAATCCCTGCTCAGTGTATTCCACTAATGCCTTTCCCTCGAGCGATTTTGTATTTGTGATCTAATCGACTAATCTGCAGCCGAGAGGAACACGTGAAATTAAGCATGGTCTAAAGCTGAAGCTCTAACGTCTCTAGCACCCTCTGACATTGGACGAGTTGACGTGAGCGAACATCATTGTTTTTACGAAGATAGCGGTTCAGGTTTAGCAGAGCGGCTAAAGATGACGATGACAACCGCAAGCACAACACAGTCTCTGACACGAGCTTAATTTATATGTCGAAAATGAATATGTGCGCACCATGGCGACGTGAGATGGAATGAAAAACAATTGACAGACGGCCAATAATAAAAATTTCGCAAAATGGTAAAGATCAGTGAATCGTCGCATGCCAGAATGTGCCGAGGTTGAGGCTATTCTCGGAAGTCGCAAAACGATGCTACAAATCATGGAAAGAGGACATGGTACCTGACGTGCAGCCAATCTCTCTAGAAGAAGCACGCATCGTCCATAACCTTAGACGGAAGGATTCGGGGTCACTGTCCAATCACTCCTTCAGGGAATCGGACCAGTGGTGACAGAAATTTCAAATCTGGTTGGAAGAAGAATGCCCAGCAACAACGGCCGAGCAGCCGCGATTTATTGCACTCGCCCCTCGCTGCGTGTCTGGCAGTCGCGCACTTCGCCCTGCCGTCAGTACTCGTTAAGATGGCGCGTGCGCGAGGAGGACGAGGAACGCCACCGAAGGCCGTCGAGATGAACTGCTCATTTCTGGAGGAGTCGTTCCGTTCGCTTACGCTTCTCACCATGACGTCCACCGACATTCTGCGTCGGTTAACGCTTAATACCCTTCCGGGCAAGCATCACTTTCGGTGCCAAGTGGGTCGTACCAAAATTGGACAAGCGCACCGTTGTCATCTGAATACAACCTCACGTTCGATCGGTAAAGTTTACATTCACTCTTCACCTCTGATTGCCTGCCCCCTCCTTTGCTGACTATGCCGTGTAACTGCTGCGTGCCCGCCTCGTATTCCACGACATATGGGCAAAGCGTCATTGAAGGTCACGGGGTCGATGGGCGATGCTCAGACGTGGCACGAAATGACCGACGGACGGATGGCGGACAACACTCATGCTTCCCGATGGTGCCGAAAACGCTGAAGGTCAATGAGAGCACACAAAACCTATCGGCATGAGTCATCTTCGGTTACAACGAATGCAACTTTTCGACCTCCGTTTCGCAATCACGTTGCAAAAACTTGGCAGGAGCAAAACACCTCTCTAAGGTGCAAAAACTCACCTCGTCACAACTGTCTCCAGTGGCGAGATCATTTCGATGATGCTGCGTTAAATGCACCGAAGACGCATCTGTCACAAGTTCGTGGGTTTTGAGAGAAACTACATGGGGCCTGACACCTCTTCAAGGACATTTCGATTGTAGATCCGTAATTAATCAAATGATCTGATAATTATTTATGTATCCGGAGTCACCCCACATTGAATGCGAACGGTAAAAAATCCCTGATTCAAAACAACAGAGCAAAAACCACGGTTGAACTGCATACAGCAGCGCTGGCTTCGACGTCTAATGAGGGTTAAATAACGGGTCCACGTAAGGAATGATTCTCTCCTGTATGAGAATGAGAGGAGCAGATGTAGTTTAAAAAAATGAGGTTTGCCCCCAGACAAACTGGTTGAGAATAAATCATTTACTCCACCTCTGAAGATTCTCGTGTGAGGGCCGAAACACGACCAAAGTTTGACCGGGAGGCAAGGGTGCAGCCTGGAGGAATCCAGAAAAAGCTATCTGCTTTCGGACAGGAATTGTTCCTTTCATGATACAGTAACCGGTGCCTTTCAGCAAAAGTGTTGATAAACTGCGGATACAGTGAACATCACAAACCAAACATGTTCTGTTCATGCAAGCGACCGAAGGTCATGCAATCAACAAACACATTCCTAAATATGTTCTGAGGTTTCTGGGCCCGTTGTTGTAACAAATTTGTCAATCCATGGTTAAGCGTAAATTCCACTTTGCGACTGACGCATTCCGTGAGGAAAAATAGGGATATCCGTGTTTTGTGTTCGAGTACTTTAATCTTAGTACCATTTAATAAGAAACTATATTCAATTTTGAAATCACTCATCATTTGTACAAGACAGTGACTAGCTCTTCTGTCAAGAAACTGTTCTCCAGTGGTTATAAAACCCGAAATGTGACTCACACCGAAACCTCATACGATATCATGTTGTCAGGATATTGGCGAACATGGCCAAACTTTGAGTCCCCTTTCTTGATCTTACTCGACTCTAATTAGGTAATGTTGATTTCCTTCCATTCACTCATAAGTATTTGGATGTCTCCTTTGGTTCCGTTCCGAAAGCTCTCATATTCTGTACAGTGACTACAAAACTTGACCAAGATCTCATGACGCCTCCTTCAGAGATTAAAGGGAACAGGCAAAGGCCAAGGTAATGGTTGGTTCACATGGTAGAATGCAATACGGCGGAAGATAGCTTCTGTGACCAACAAGCCCTGCGCTGAGCAGCGTGAGAGTCTGTTAACTAAGTAATGGCAATCAGGTAACAAGATAATAAGCCATACACTTACTTCCCTGTACCTTGACCACTCGATGGATGGATCACTACAAGTACGAATTTGAAATTTAGGACCACGTCTCTTATTAATGTTTGAAGAAACAAAGCCGACATGTATTCAACATGTCGATTGTGCTACGAACAAAGGGTGACCATTCGTTGTTGACAGCTAAAGGACATCCACATCCGTATACGATCGTGATCGTCATGCATCCACGTTACAACTCGATCTTCCCTGGCAAAAACCGGATAAATATAGTTTTGCCTAACTGTCATCTCAACTTGTACAATACTCTTTTACATGATCTTTTGCCTCCACGTGTATTTTCTATTCTTCGGTTAATGGTCGTCGCTTCCCCATCTTTTCCCTCGCATATTTCTCATCTGCCTTCCTTTCTCGTTTCTTGGTTACTTTTATTTCTCCAGGTTTTTCTGGATTTCCTCATCGCTATTGTTCTTTTTCTTATTCCCCTCCTCCTTTTTCCTTACTCCCTTTCTTCCTTCATTTATTCCTCTTTTTGCTTCTCATTCCTTGTATCTTCTCGCTCGTCTAGGTTTTCGTTTTTGTTGTTGTTCATGTGACTCTTATCGTTCTCCTTCTCCGTTTATTATCCCTTAAGTTTTATGTTCTACTTTTTCTTGTTTTTGTTCTTCGTCGAAATCGTTTCATTCCTTCAACTGTTCTTCGACTTCTCGCTCTTCGTCCTCATCCACTTCTTCTCCTTCCCAAGGATCTTGTATTAATTTTACAAGGATTCGGTGTACGAGTAAATTTCCATGTTCTTTCATCTATAACCGATTCACTGATTACACCGTGAATTCTAAGCACGTAGAAGAGCAGTCATTTCTGTGAACATAACTTGCTTGATGTCTACCGTTAAACGTGGTCAACGGTAAATCTTTGCACAATTATAATTACTTCCAAACACGATCGTGACTGCTGCGAACGGTTTGAAAGGTAGGAAAGTAGTAGTTCAAAATTCAAAGCAGAATCGTATTGTAGCAGATAATTCGAACCGTCTTTTCTTGACTAACAGTCGTTTAAGAATTAATTAATTTCATTGTAAGATCGTCCAGTACTGAAGGCGTCGTAAAAGTACATATATATATATATGCTTTTACTTATTTAGTTAGTTATATTCTCTCATTCATCTGTCACCAGCTCAATCTATCCGAGTATAACTTCGCTTAATAGTCAATACCCAGAGTATAACCGCGCATGTGTTAAACGTGCAATATAATTTGATCATACACAGACTGCATATTGTTAATTTCGGGTTTAGATAATCATATCGACAGCTTTTTTCTTTCATGCTACCAAGGTAAGATGGGAATCTCATAAAGATGGCGTCATTGTAGTTTCTAGTACACGTAGGATGGAAAGATAAGTCGAAAGTGATCATTCACAATGCGCCGTTAATATAGACTTTTATTAGGTAATAATAACAGATGGGAGAAAAAAATTTTTGCAATGAATTTTCAGGTGGTTCTGCTTGATGGTTAAGCGATGACAGGAAGGATACTGCTGGCCAGCGTATCTTCGTCGCAACAGCGACAGAGGTGAAAATACAGCAGTGCCTGTTTGCATCGTTGCTTTCATTCAGATCTGTTGAGGTTGCGGTTTCCCACGGT